TGTAGATATAATATATTCTCTAGAACTGAAGGTATGTAAGATAATAATATATTCTCTAGAACTGAAGGTATGTAAGATAATAATATATTCTCTAGAACTGAAGGTATGTGAGATAATAATATATTCTCTAGAACTGAAGGTATGTAAGATAATAATATATTCTCTAGAACTGAAGGTATGTAAGATAATAATATATTCTCTAGAACTGAAGGTATGTAAGATAATAATATATTCTCTAGAACTGAAGGTATGTAATATAATGATGTATTCTCTAGAACTGAAGGTATGTAAGATAATAATATATTCTCTAGAACTGAAGGTATGTAAGATAATAATATATTCTCTAGAACTGAAGGTATGTAATATAATGATGTATTCTCTAGAACTGAAGGTATGTAAGATAATAATATATTCTCTAGAACTGAAGGTATGTAAGATAATAATATATTCTCTAGAACTGAAGGTATGTAAGATAATAATATATTCTCTAGAACTGAAGGTATGTGAGATAATAATATATTCTCTAGAACTGAAGGTATGTAAGATAACAATATATTCTCTAGAACTGAAGGTATGTAAGATAATAATATATTCTCTAGAACTGAAGGTATGTAAGATAATAATATATTCTCTAGAACTGAAGGTATGTAAGATAATAATATATTCTCTAGAACTGAAGGTGTGTAAGATAACAATATATTCTCTAGAACTGAAGGTATGTAAGATAATAATATATTCTCTAGAACTGAAGGTATGTAAGATAATAATATATTCTCTAGAACTGAAGGTATGTGAGATAATAATATATTCTCTAGAACTGAAGGTATGTAAGATAATAATATATTCTCTAGAACTGAAGGTATGTAAGATAATGATATATTCTCTAGAACTGAAGGTATGTGAGATAATAATATATTCTCTAGAACTGAAGGTATGTAAGATAATAATATATTCTCTAGAACTGAAGGTATGTAAGATAATAATATATTCTCTAGAACTGAAGGTATGTAAGATAATGATATATTCTCTAGAACTGAAGGTATGTAAGATAATAATATATTCTCTAGAACTGAAGGTGTGTGAGATAATAATATATTCTCTAGAACTGAAGGTATGTAAGATAATAATATATTCTCTAGAACTGAAGGTGTGTGAGATAATAATATATTCTCTAGAACTGAAGGTATGTAAGATAATAATATATTCTCTAGAACTGAAGGTATGTGAGATAATAATATATTCTCTAGAACTGAAGGTATGTAAGATAATGATATATTCTCTAGAACTGAAGGTATGTAAGATAATAATATATTCTCTAGAACTGAAGGTATGTGAGATAATAATATATTCTCTAGAACTGAAGGTATGAGAGATAATAATATATTCTCTAGAACTGAAGGTATGTGAGATAATAATATATTCTCTAGAACTGAAGGTATGTAAGATAATAATATATTCTCTAGAACTGAAGGTATGTGAGATAATAATATATTCTCTAGAACTGAAGGTATGTGAGATAATAATATATTCTCTAGAACTGAAGGTATGTAAGATAATAATATATTCTATAGAACTGAAGGTATGTGAGTTAATATTTTAATTTCATATATAATTATTACATAATAACTTTGAATCTCTCAAATTTAGCTCTTAATTTGCTGTTTGTAGATAAAGACAATGTAGCTGTGGATAAACCAGCTGTAATATCTAGTATTTATAATGGTGGACCATATGAAGCCTGTCGTGCAGTTGATGGTGATATGGCCACTTTTTGTCACAGAGAACTTGATCCAGCGTCAGGGATGTGCCTAGACCTTCAACAATTTCAAGGAAATTAAACTTTTTAACAGGCCAGGATATATGGGTAAGTAGGATCTCATAAAGACCACGTTTACACTGAGTTAGATATTCAAAGGGGTCAAGTCATTAAGATCGAACCATTGATCGACAAGACTCATTTTTATGTGCCTACATATAATTAGGGCGTATATTGGCGTCACCAATGTTCCAATTGCTTGTAAACACTCTAGTGGGCTTAATTCTTGGCGGATTTTGACGAAACTTGGTATGATTGTTTGTAATCACCCAAGGATGAGCACTATTGAAAATAAAAAAATCGGAAAAATAATTAGTATGGGTCATTACCCTTGTTCTTGAATATCAGCGGAATCAAAAAATATTAAGTATGAGTTATTTCCCTTGTTCTTGAAAAAGCGTTTAATTTTCAGTTTTCACAATTCTTGACAGACTTTACGATTTTATGACGGCTTCAATTCATTCATAAGATGCAATCGAATAAAATCTCATTTTTAAAATTTGTTTAGTGGATTGGAGATTCCCCACTCAAAATCCTGACTCTGATGTATTTCATTTGAAAATGTGTTTGTTGTTTAGGAATGAGCGAGGACATATGCCCGACCTCTTTTTTATAATTTCAGAGAAAAAATATCATTCTTTCTAACACAATCTTTACTAAACTAAAAGAAAGTGTCTGTCCATGTTTTTATATGCGATAATCGATTATTAAGTCAAATATGCAGCCTCCACTGAATATCAATATCCTTCTATATACTCAATTTGACAAATTTACATTAGCTCAAGGTCACGAACATTTTTCCGTTTGACCGTGTCAACGTGAACGGAACACAAATTATTCAGGATACAAACTTAATTCATATTTTTAAATTGAAAGGTTCTATTGACCAGGGCGGAAACATCAACGTCAAAATGACACAAAGGTTTTTTGCCACATTTAAGACCTATAGGTTCATCGCTAATTGATATCGATAGCTTATTAAGTCGTAAGGCGAAGGCTTCTAGTTATATTTTTAAGACTGAATTAATATGCCAAGAGGTTTTCTACACTTGTATCTGTAGTACCATGCCAATTTTCTAACAAACGTCTGTTGGTCTTGCATGTGTTACTCTTTTTACTATGCGCTTTTTTATCGTTCTTGGAAAGGTTACGACACTTGTTTAAGTCCTTATGCGATTCCAATGTTTCGCGATCCCAATGTTTCGCGATTCCAGTGTTTCGCGATTGTGCGAATTGTGGGCCAATTTTCCTAACCAGTAGCAGCTTTTTCCTTGTGACGGCCTCTTACTCATGTTTTATTTTGTATGAAACCTGTTTATTGCAGTTGTCCGTACATTTCTTGATATCGGTATAGTGGCTGCGATAGATCTCACTGGGTTCTTCACTAATCAACGAGATCCCGCCTCAAGAAATGATGACGAGCAAGATATATAGTCTGTTACCCACGTCGCTTGAGTTTCATAATATTTAAATTCCTTATAACACTTTATAACCTATTTTGTTTTTTTATCAATTGAGCAATGTTTAAGAAAAAATAAATACCTTTTTGCAGACACATAATGGCAGCCAGGAAAACCATTGATTTGATTAAAATATCCATTTCTATAATAATAAAGAGTTAATTAATACTAATAGAATCACAACTGTTTTAAAAGACTCCCGATTTGTGTCTTGGTCAAGAATTAGAACATCACTAGCAAGTAACTGTATATTTACACCATCGTATCCATTGTGGAACTGATACACCAAACTGTAACAAAGTGGCCTTTTATACTTGACAAATATTGCTCATTTATTTGTTTATTTCTTGTTCAAATGTATCCTTCGATATCGTATTGTATTCAGGTTGGTCGAGGTCTTTTCGGAACAAAATCTCCATACTGGTGATCTACTGTTTGTTTAAATGATTATTATAATATGACAACAGACTTCGTTTGGACTGGTTTATTTTATAAATATATATATTTGCACTTGAAATGGATTTGACTAATCTCAAACTTGTCTTCTACCCTACTGTTCTGATTTCCATTTGGCCTTTAGCTTACCATATAGGAACTTTCGGATTGTAAGAGTAAACATTTGTGAGACGGCTTTTCACATCATTAGAAACTATCGTTGTTGTATTAGACATCTAACTGGTTTTGGCAAATTTACAAAGATGAGCCAGGCCAACTTTTTGAAACCATGATTTAACATTTAGTTCAGAAAAAAAATCGATAAAAACAGTGTAATACATTTAACAAACCTCATTTCATTTTGATATATTATGAAATATACTGAACAGATAAATAAGTTCTGGATTAATCAGACATTATCGTGAAAAATCAAAATTCTTATTTTGCTTTGTGACTTTACAAAAGTGGCTCAGTTTATGACATTCAATTGATAAAACCGATTGCGTTCTGGGTCACAGTTGTGAACCCTGAGTTACAACACAAACATCATCAAATTTAAGCATAGGGACACAGACAGATCGTCAAACCATTGGCCACTTTTTTTTTTTTTTTTTTTTTTTTTTTTTTTTGTTTAAACAATATTTATTGATAATTTACAAAATCATACATATGCTATATGCTATACTGATGGATTGCTGACACTGTTAGAAATCGGATCGCCTACGAGAAATGCAGTAAAACTCAGTGCAGCATCTATTATGGTCTTGGTATATATTCAAATGATGTCTGTAAAATTTTTGTGGCACTCCGGGACGTTACCAAAATACTTGTCTTTTGGGTTTTTTTATTTTTACTTTTCGGGTTTTATTTTTCTAAAATTCATTGTGTGTTGATAAACCTATATTGATAAGAAGAAGTACAAAAGGATTTCTTGAGCTTTTCATTTTGTCAGACGAGATCTTAAGCCGATAAAAGATAAACAAATTAAATACTTGACGTTCGCTAGTCAATGATTAAAATACTGCACCCGTTTTAATGTTGAGAAGAGAAAAATAATAATCCTCCAGAGTCTTAGATAATTCTTGTAAAATATTTCAATAGGTCAACCTGACAAGGGGAAAGAAGTCGACTAAATAATATTTTATTATCCGTCAGAAAATATATTCTAACAACTTAACATGAAAATACAATCCCAAGTTTGTCTACAATTTAATAAAAAGAGAACTACGGTAGTTAAACATTGCGAGGAATTTTATAGTCCTTATTTTATGATTCTTAAAATTCACACAAAATAATCAGGTCAATTAGAGATAATACCTATTCAATAGAAATCAGGTCAATTAGAGATAATACCTATTCAATAGAAATCAGGTCAATTAGAGATAATACCTATTCAATAGAAATCAGGTCAATTAGAGATAATATCTATTCAATAGAAATCAGGTCAATTAGAGATAATACCTATTCAATAGAAATCAGGTCAATTAGAGATAATATCTATTCAATAGAAATCAGGTCAATTAGAGATAATATCTATTCAATAGAAATCAGGTCAATTAGACATAATACCTATTCAATAGAAATCAGGTCAAATCAAGACAAGACTGGGGTGTATATGACTGACAAAATACAATAAAATAAATAACAAAATATATCAAACTCTGACTGAAAATTTAAATATCATATCTGCTGATCTACAGTCAAGTTGGTTAAACAGTAGGTTATGATAGATAAAACTGACTTCAATGACAAATTGATCTGGCCCTCATAGATTAATTTACAATCTTGAGAAAGCAGTTATAGCAATTGCCGTAAGAATAAATATGATAAAAAATCAAATTATACAAGTCTATTTTCTTTATAAAATATTAATTGTTTATTTCTATAGTTTACCTTACTTCTAGACTTTGGCTTGAATCAGAAAACATTTTATCACTATTTTTCATTACACAATTACAGAATTTTGAGGTGAAATTTCTTAGTGCAATTGTGTACTTATATATTAGATACACAACAGTTTGCATTTCTTATCAAATAAGTTTTCTGTTTTCTCGGTTTATCACTACTATACTGTTACAGTGCATGTTAACGAAATCAGAATTTTGATAAAGAAACTCATCAAGATAATATGGGACGTAATCTTGAAAATCAAGTTCATTATAAAGTTGATCTTTCTTCCCCAAATCAATAAAGTTATTGTTGATTCAAACCAAATTCTTGTATTTTTCTAGGTCAGTGCAGGAAGAACGTCATAAAGTCAATATTAGAGTCAAATATTGTTCATGGTTGTTGATAATAGCTTTAATGAAATTTCACGAATAAAAATTATGTTTTATAAAACAAAAATTGTTGAAATATGTGTTCTGAGAAATTCATTTGAAAAATTAAAGGTAAAAATTTGAAACCATGTGAACGCTCCAAACACAAATTTTCACTTACGTGTTATAATTTTACCATAAAATTCTAATGTGCCGTGTGTCAGACACTTCAGATCGCGAAATTAACTTTTAAATAAATTATTCTGTGTAGACTGGAACAATTTTTCCATAACTTTTTGTTCTGAATTTTGTTCAATATTCTAACTTTATTAATTTTTAATTATTTTCATGGAACTTGATAGGTACAGACCAAAGTATCAATTATGATTCAAAACAAAACAAAAATTTCCGAAAATTTACGGAAAAAGTGGAAACAATCTTGAATA